AGGTTTCTGATGTAGCCTGATGATGCATCTAAAAGCTAACTGTAATATTTTGTTCTAGATCTAGGATTGCATCMGAAGGTCCTCTAAAGACTGGTGTGTGTAAATCATTTTGCCGTAATAAAGGACATGGATTTATAACTCCTGATGATAGTGAAAAGGCAATCTTTGTTCATATTTCTGAGTAAGTGAAAACAATTGTGAAATTCAAAAAGAATGTTTGGATAGATAAAAAGATAAGGAAACAGACCAATGCAGACTCATTTTGTATATTCATATCTTATGGGAGAGAAAGTTTATATTCCCAGGGAGTCTGAATTGGAACAAACATTGCCAAAGTAGGCCTCTTAGTGAGTGAAGCGTGATGTTTTGGCCAAGCTATTRGATTGATAATAGAGTTMGCTGATAACATAAACATTGCAGTTTACTTGCCAATTATTGACTAAACCTTKAACTCCATCTTCTCACRAATGTYTTTTCTTTTTTAACAAGTATTGAGGGAGAGTATGTTCTTAAAGAGGGAGACCGTGTCCAATTCCGTACCTGTCCTTTGCCACCAAAGATGACCGAGCAYCAAGCAGTTGAAGTAACCATCACAGAATACCATGGTCAACATGAAAAATGGTGGAGTGGAAACTAGACTCATCTTTGTAAATATATACTTATTTGYTGTTACTCTTTTTACCCATAATACTATGATCAAAGATCGTATCAACCAATCTTTCATTAATTTCTTGTACTGTCACCATAAACTCAAAAAGTTTGAATTAGTGCAAAAGTCACCACAGGGGTCCCAGACAAAGCATRAGTGYRGCTTTTTAAAATATGCYCATGTATTATGTTTGCGACCTATGATGCATGGAAAATCTGCATATTTGTAGTAAATGTATGGAGKACCAAATTATCCTTTGATTTTTTTTCTCAAATTTGAATTTAAAMCTTTCTCACTAGAATAGATAGCTGCCTTGTTATGCTTTCTTGGCTGGGATTTTTACCAAGTAACAACTGTTGGGAACCTTCTTGCTTTGATGCCAATGCAAATCTTGTTCAACTACATACATTGTACATGTAGGTGACTATTGCATTTTTTTCAGTACTGCCACACATGATATTCAATTAAAAAAAAAACATTGAAATGTTGGAATAGGGCACGAGTTTGTACCATTCAAAAGTATTTGACTAAACAAATTTAAAGAAGGTTTTCATAGAAACTATTAATTACCTGTAAATTGTATCAGTGTCATGGTATGGCTGGTTCACACTGCATAAGCTCAAAGCACAATTAGATTTAGTGATTAAAATTGATCAATGAGTCAAAAGGAAGTGTGTTTCTTTTTGTTTTCTTTTGTTTTTAATTAGCTTTTGATTGGCCTTACGCTAATGACTATGCTTATGTCAGTGCATGTTTCACTGTCTTCAGTTCTTTGTCTTTGTCTTAAATTGAAGTGTGAACCAGCCCTATGCTGGATGATGAGTTATTTTTTCAGTTCCTGGTATCTATTGTGAAAATCCGAGTTATATTGACATATAGAATAATATGAATACTTACTTGTTATGGTGAAAATTTTGTGATATTGTCCATGGCCAGCACTAGTAATCAAATGTAATTAAGCACAGTTTGTCAATGGAAAATGAAAATGTGTAAAAGTCCTAACCTCAAGCCTGTGACTTGTTTTATCAAGGAAGAGAGTATAAGATACTATTCAAATAAACTGTCGTAATTATCTGAATCATATGAGTGAAAGCTTTTTTTACTGGCTGTAAATTGCTGCATGCGATTACAAATTTAGAATGAGAAATATTACGCTTTGAGAACTAATTGAGAAGGAGAAATTTACGCTGTGAGAACAAAGAAACTATCAATATAGCATCGAGCTAAGATCTCTCCTTTTTATATTCCTGTCTTTTCCAATCTAAAAATAATCAAAAAACAACAAAACGTGTAGATTAAATATAATTGCCATCAATTTGTTTATCATTTATTCTCAAATCATTTTTGTTATTCATAAAACCTATTTTTATTAAAAACTGACAGTTTTATTCGTTTATTAAATAAGTATTTACATGAGAAGATATATATATATATATATGATAGGGCTAGCCTTTGTACATATGTTACCACCCCTCCCCCCTTGGGGAAATTTTCCCCCTATAGGGGTAGGGTGGGGATGGCTATACCCAGTTTATGGTAGTGCAAGCTATACCCATGGAGTCAAGGTTAATAGAGTACAAACTACACAGTTTTTTAACTCTCAGAGAACGCTGCGTTATTTTAAATCTAAGTAATTTTCTGGTGACTATTTCTTCAAAATCTACTAATAATACTTTGGGCTTTCCTTCACGTATTTAGTGCTTACATATTTAGTATAAACTCTATAAACTATGATGCTTGCAGTTTCTTGGTGATAACATTTCAATAATCTAGTGTGTTTATATGATTTTTTTTATTTACATCTTTCAAACTGGCGGTGCACCGATATAACACCAATCCAGTTCATTCTGAAATGCAGTATTTACCTATTTTACAATGTCGTGTAAARAAAACTAGCTYGACGACTGTTAGGATGGATCCCGGTCGAAATGTTTGGCTCAAAAACGTGAGTTCTGCTATCCAGTTTTCAAAAACATTTGTAAAGAAGCTTGACGAGTCGAAAATCAAGATGGCGCCATGGCGTTGCTTAAATACCWAATGTACATGCTTTTTTTGTGAGAGAGAATGCGAGCGAGTGAGATAATTGCAACCATTTCTATGGTCCTTTCCGCTTTTTGACGTCACGATTGTTTTGGCGAAGTGCATCATGGTCTTGATAAGGGCATCAATATGGCAGATACCTCAATAGTGAAAAACGAAATTACCGAGTATCCATTGTGGAGGATACTTTAGTAGAATATTAAATAAGATGGTTGCAAAGTAAGTCTAATCAAAGGCCTATCCGAAAAATATGTATTTCTTGTTCGCAAAACAGTCTGACAAACCGAAAACAAGGCTTCAGTGGGCCGGGTTATTCAAATCCCGATAAGCGCTAACCCTGGGTTAACTCTTAGAAAACCTATGGAGTTAACCCTGGTTTAACGCTAACCGAGTTTTGAAGAACCCGGCCGCATTGCATGGTGCATCTCAACATCGCGCGCATGACGTCATTAGGCGGAAGGAGCGATCGATTTTAGACCGTAGGAATCGTTGTGTGTCCTCACGGTTGGTAAGTTCTCTGACAATACTTGTGTATATAAGCCTAATATCATACTATACATTTACAGTGGGTGGGAATTGGGGGTCTCGAACACCACATGAAAAGGTTGGTCAATATCTCAGACCCCCATGTCCCCCTTCTTTCAGACAACATACTAATTTACATATGCCAATGACTCCATGAACCATGGGAAGGTTTTCCCCCTCCCAAGTGATATCCGAGTCGTGCATAATGTGGGGGGAGGTAGGTGAAATTGAAGTCTAAAGCGTATTATAATCAAGTATAACGATAAGACATAGWGAAGCAATTTCCTCGCGATGACCCTCTTACAATGAAGTACAATTTGGGGACGATTGTATGTGATTTACCCAGCGCACCATGTTTTTCTTTGTACACTACGTTAAAAAGCCATTCTTCCATAACAGCCAACTCTTATCTGCAACTTATGTTATTTCATTTCATTAGAGTCTTGTGCGAGTACAAATCCACCGTTTGCCATCACACTTCTGTGTCCTTAACCGGAAAAGATGAAAGCATAGGAGTCGAGATATCATTGTTCCTGTTATCATCAAATCTATTCGCTTTTCTCCCATTCATTAGTTCGCTCTTTTCTACTAGTGAATCCATCTTTCGGGGCGTTGTAATCATGGTTTGATTGTCCGTCGCTGTCAAAAACGACATACCACCTTGAAGTTTCTTCGAACTCTTCCTAACGCTAGTATTAATGTTTTTGCGAAAGTTCGTGGTCGATATAGTGTACAAAATCGGATTAAGAGCTGAGTTTAAAGGCAAGACAAATACTGCAACCCATGCGTAAACAACCGGGCTTGCTTTCATACCTAACAGGGACGCTATACCAATGATTATGATAGGAATCCAGCATACAAAGTCAGTTAGAACTATGAAAACCATCCGCGATCCTATSGACGTCGTTGGTGCCTTTTGGCTAACTCCTGTCATGGTATTAGTCTGTCTTATCTTAATAAACATAAGTAGATACAAAACAAAAATAGCCAGGAAAGAGATTAAGTTTAATACCAGAAAGACGAACACCGAGTACTGCCAGCCAGCGGGCTTCTCAGCGGTGAGGTGAAGAGGAAGACAYACCCCAGAGCGCGCGTAAAAGTCATTAAAATACTCAATTCCCATTAACGGAATAGAAGCTAGGAAAAACGCCGATAGCCAAATTAAAGCCAATGCTTTATAAGCACCGCACAGTTTAAGACTGATGTTTCTGAGTGGATACGTTATCGCTACAAACCGGTCAGCGGTCATGATAGTGAGGATGAAGACCGACGCCTCACTAGATAAAGTCGATAGAAAACCACAAAACTGACAAAGAGAGCTTCTCTTCCAGTCTTCGCTGAATATAGCGTAATTTCCACGGTAATAGAGATCTACAGAGCCAATCACCACAAGATAGACCCCCATGAGAAAGTCGGAAATCGCCAGGTTCAGAAGCAGTAYTGAATGAACTTTGCTTTCACTTTTGGTTTTTAACCTCCATATAAGGACAAAGGCYTTTCCAAATAAGGCAATACATCCCAGAATCCATATGGAGATTCCTAAGGTTGGATTTGCCATGAGGTCTTCACATGAAGAAAACAAGTCTTTCGGGGCCGAGCAGTTTTCGCCAGACAGCTTGGCAATGCAACAGAATTCAAATCTGTCTGCTGACCTGTATCAATAAAATATSATTCTTTACTATTCGAAATCAAAGGTCCATGATCGACCAGCATTCAATGCGGTCTTGTTTTGGATCAAATCAATCCATTCARAATCCATTTCCAACCGTTAGTTTTGAAATAGATTCTTGTTTTTATTACGATGGATTTTTATTTTCAAACATAAAGCTTAGAAAAGATGTTGGTTGACCATGGACCTTTTAATTATCAATAAAGCCACCTTTAAGAAATGTTATGGCTGGAATTTATAACTATATGACCTGGCCAGTCCATAATAAAGTCACATGTATGTCTTTTCAAAAAGCACATTACGAGATGTCTATATGATAAACTGTATTTTTCCTCCATGGCCAAAGAGCGCTAACAACCAAGTTTATGCGCCATCTGTTAGATAATGGGACTGTTAATCTCTAAACGAGATTTGTGAAATACGCGCTCTTTTGATAAACTTTCCAATTTATCCCTAGTTTAAAAGCACTCCTTTCATTGGGAAAAARAAACCTGGAGAAAATTAAGGAGCGGAAATCGAACCGTCGTCTTTGTTGTTTTTTTTTTAATGGCGCATCACCTTCATGATAAAATACTCACAGATAATTGAGGTTTACATCATCGAAGATGTCAAGGGGAAGAGTAGTTAGTTTTTCATTGCCTTCCATGTGTCTAATAATACAAAAAAAACATAATTACATCGATATCTATCTTCTATAATTCTGAGAGTGGAGACTTACAGTTCTGAAAGAGAATGCATTCCTTGAAAGGCTCCCGACTCGATTTTCTTGAGCTTRAAGTGTGTCAAATTTCTAAGGAAAAAATTAGGATGATTTTCTTGTTTAGTCTTAAAGTTTCATTGTTTATTACAACTCAATTGTATTGATGATAAACTTACAGTGATTCTACTCGACTCAGTCCTAAAAAGCCATTTTTTTGTATGACTTCGATGGGGTTTCCCTGAATGTGACTAAACGAAATCATGATTAGCAGAACTCATTATTATAAAAAAACGTTTGAAAATCATATTTCTATTGCGGGAAAAAATGATAGGAAATATAGACTCTTCAGTGATGTTTTTTATTACTTACAGTTGGCGCAAAGAGGTGAGACCTGCAAATGTATTGCTTGCTATGACTGTCAAGTTATTGTCGTCTAAATTCCTTTAAAAAAAACAGTAAAACTTATGGTTTATGATAATGATAGGAAAGCATGTATTGTTTAGCAATTACGACACGCAAGATAAACATAACGCAACACATTTTCATCAAAAATATCAACAACACAATCACCAGTATCATCGTTCTCATTAATAGCCTGTATTTCGGTTGGCCTGGGGTTGTACAGGCAGCACCAGKAGCGCAAGCTAAGTGAGGTAGTATTCGGCTTGTTTATGCTTTAAGTACTTACAAGTCTACAAGGTTGCGTAGTTTAATGAATGTATACGAAGCAATGTCACTTATTTGGTTTTGTTGAAGACCTCTAAAGGTGGAAAGAAGTTGATAATATTCCTTTCTTGACCAATGAAATTCAATTACGTTAAATCAAAGCAACTTTATGTAGAATATTGYACTTACAGCCTTTCCAGTTTTTCATATCTTGCAAAACTTGATGTACCAAGTTTTCGGAGTTTCTTTTTAACAATTTTTCTAAAAAGAAAAAGCGAAACAAAAGGAAAAAACAATTATTTCATGTACCGTGAATGCAACTCTATTTTCAAAAACTCTCGTAAAGCGACCTCATACATTTCCCGTCTTAGCTTGTTTCCCCAAACCTTTTGTAAAAAAAATAATAATGAAAACCTCATGTAAGCGACCACTGCCCAAATCGACCACCTTTGAGGCTGAATTCTCGAAARATTTTCTGATTGTTTTCCTTCTCGCAGTAATAGGGTGACCGTCCCCGGAGGCCCAGGCGTCTACCCCTAAGTTACAGAGGATGCCTCAGGGATCAAAAAGGGTTCTGGTAGAGTATGTGGTACCTTTTACCACAGGTCAGATGTCTTAATATTATGGGATATGATAAGTACAGTATTACTTCGAGGATATGGGTTTTTGTACTTACAATGTAGTTGTTGTATGGGGTAAGTATTGAGGGATGATTGTAGTGTTGCTATCGCGACAAGTAAAAATGGTCTTTATATTTCTTAAGGATCCTTCTCCAAGCTGTTTTTCCCATTTTCGACAATCGCTAATCCAACTACAGGCTTAAAAAAAAAAAAAAAAAATTTTGTTAGTTGAAAAACATGGCAACCAAGCCATCGGCAGACGAATTAACTAGCCCTGTCAAATTTGCAAACCACTTAGCCAATCAATTAGCCATATTCAGCTAATCAATTAAACAATAATCTAACCGACTAACCAACTTACCATTCGACGTTACCAACCAACAGACCAACCCGCCAGAGCGTGCCAACCATGCAACCAACTAGGCAACCAAAACAAACCAACCACCCACTAACCAACCAACCATTCCAACAACGTTAACGAACCAACCATTCAAAACCAACCAACAAACCAACATTCAACCAACCATGCAACCAACAAACCATTAAACTAAGCGACCAACTAACTTAACTAGCCACTCAAACAACCATTGATTGGCAACCAACAACCAAGSAAACAAATAGAATTAGTACCTCTTGGATCTGCTAATTCGGCTTTATATGGGCATTGTGGTTGAACTGAAGAAGAATASAAGAAATATTAAAACAATAAGTTTAGATTTCCTCTCTCTTTACTCCGACGAAGGATTAACATCCGAAACGTCAGTAAGTTTTTCCACATACTTTTTTACGGTGTTAAATTTATCTTTTTACATAACTGTTTCTTTAGAAACACCGACGCAGCTCACACTAGTTTACCGCTAGTTCCCACAAGTTTAGATTAGTGTATATTACGATACATGAATTTATAACTTCTTGCCTCCCCCTGATTACTTACTTTCATCACTTTTATCACCGCAGTCATCTTTACCATCACAAACCCATTCCTGGGGGATGCACCTTCCGTTATCGCATTTGTTCCAAGATGAAATGTTACATGGACCAGCACCAACTACATTTAATAATAAAACATCAATCAATCAATTAATCAACAAACCAACAGAGAGCATGCGTACAACTGATTCTAGTAGAATATATATACGCATGCTCACACAAGATCTCTCTGAACCGAATGGCCCCCCGGCATAATGTATCCCACATGGTTCAGAACATAATTCAAAAATTATATCAATCTTTCACAATCTTTCATAAGGCTGTTTGACTTACATGTTGTATTTCCACAGTAGTCTTTGTACGCACATTTTCGTCCAAGTTTCCAGACGAGACCATTTACAACGTAAACCGAACGGCACTTGTATGGGTTTTTCATCAGAGCTAAGGATCCCAAAATGATCCAATGAGACGATTTACAAGATGCGCGGGTGTTTGCAAAAATATCGCAGGCGCGCATATATATAAAAGGACGTATTATGAGGAAAAATACTACGCGTTTTCTYGCGCACTCCGCTTGCTACTTACGACATCCTTCTTCATCAAAGCCGTCTGCGCAATCAACTGGTCCATTGCACTTTTTACTGATATCAATGCACTGTTTCCACCAATGGTTGTTGGGACATTCAAATTGACGGGAGCCGCACGGTACTGAACACAAACAAAATAACAACA